GTAGCCCCCCCGTTGCCCTCAGTAGCCCCCCCGTTGTCCGCAGGCCGGCCAGTACGGCGTGGCCCAGACTCGCCGCCGCGCCATCGTGCTGGCGGCCGCGCCGGGCGAGCGCTTGCCGCTGTTCCCCGAGCCCCTGCACGTGTTCGCCCCCCGCGCCTGCCAGCTCAGCGTCGTGGTGGACGACAAGAAATTCGTCAGCAACATCACCCGGTGAGAAAAAACGGGAAAACGGGAAAACGGGGATTGGGGTTTGGGGTTTGGGGAATTTTGGGGGTTTGGGGATTGGGGATTGGGAATTGGGGATTTGGGGATTGGGGTTTGGGGTTTGGGAATTGGAGTTTCGGAGTTGGGGATTGGGAATTGGGAATTGGGGATTGGGGTTTGGGGTTTGGGAATTGGGATTGGGAACTGGGATTTGGGAATTAGGATTGGGAATTGGGATTGGGAATTGGGGTTTGGGAATTGGGGTTTGGGGATTGGGGGTTTGGGATTTGGGAATCGGGATTTGGTAATTGGGATTTGGGGATTGGGAACTTTGGGATTTGGGGGTTTGGGATTGGGAATTGGGGATTGGGGATTGGGAACTTTGGAATTCGGGATTGGGAATTGGGGTTTGGGGTTTGGGATTGGGGACTTGGAATTGGGAATTGGGGTTTGGGATTTGGGGATTGGGAATTGGGGTTTGGGATTTGGGGATTGGGATTTGGGGACTGGGAGTTGGGATTCAGGATTTGGGAATTGGGATTTGGGATTTGGGGATTGGGGTTTGGGATTTGGGGATTGGGGATTGGGGTTTCGGATTGGGAGTTGGGAATGGGGAACTGGGAATTAGGATTCAGGATCTGGGGTTTGGGAATTGGGATTTGGGATTCGGGGATTGGGGTTTGGGATTTGGGAATTTGGATTTGGGATTTGGGAATTGGGGAATTTGGGGAGTTTGGTTTGGGAATTCGGCACTGGGGATTGGATGTTGGGAATTTTGGGTTGGGAATTCTGAGTTGGGAATTCTGTGTTGGGAATTCCGTGTTGGGAACTCCGTGTTGGGAATTCTGTGTTGGTGATTCCATGTCGGGAACTTCGTGTTGGGAGCTCCGTGTTGGGAATTCCACGTTGGGAATTCCGTGTCGGGAACTCCGTGTTGGGAACTCCGCGTTGGGAATTCCGTGTTGGGAACTCCGTGTTGGGAACTCCATGTTGGGAATTCCTGGTTGGGAATTCCGTGTTGGGAATTCCGTGTTGGGAATTCCACGTTGGGAATTCCGTGTTGGGAATTCCGTGTCCCCCAGGACGTACTCGGGGCCGTTCCGCACCATCACCGTGCGCGACACCATGTCCGACCTGCCCGAGATCCGCAACGGCGCCTCCGCCCTGGAGATCTCCTACAACGGCGAGCCCCAGTCGTGGTTCCAGCGCCAGATCCGCGGCTCCCAGTACCAGCCCATCCTCAGGGATCACATCTGCAAGGTGGGAACGCGGAGAGGGAGACAAAACGGGCACGGGGGAGCTGCTGGGAATGGAGGAGGATTGGGAATGGTGGAGGATTGGGAATGGTGGAGGATTGGGAATGGTGGAGGATTGGGAATGGTGGAGGATTGGGAATGGAGGAGGATTGGGAATGGAGGATTGGGAATGGTGGAGGATTGGGAATGGAGGAGGGTTGGGAATGGTGGAGGATTGGGAATGAAAGAGGATCGGGAATGGAGGAGGATTGGGAATGGTGGAGGATCGGGAATGGAGGAGGGTTGGGAATGGAGGAGGATTGGGAATGGAGAAGGATTGGGAATGGAGGAGGATCGGGAATGGAGGAGGATTGGGAATGGTGGAGGATTGGGAATGGTGGAGGAGTGGGAATGGAGGAGGATCGGGAATGGTGGAGGATTGGGAATGGAGGAGG